TTGGCAGGAAATCAATTACTTGAGTCATCATTGCTGCCCTGCAGGGTCTGCATTAGTAGGAAACTGGAATGGGAAATGGGGGTGAATCCAGGACTCAAACCAATACACAAGATGAGGCCCTGATGGAGTTCTGGGTTCCTGGCTTCAGCCTGGCCCAGCCCCTGCTGTTCTGGCATTTGGCGAGTGAACCAGCTGATGAGACTTCTCCCTCCACCTCACCCTCTCCTCTCTTGCTCTCCCTTTCAAACAAATCAAGGTGAGAGGAGCGGTTGTCCTGTGTCTGCCACAAGGTGGCAGCAGAGTGACACCAAAGCCGGGCCCTGGCCCCCAGCAGGCTGCCTGCCTCAGTCCCCCAGCCCATACACACACACCAGGAAGTTCCTGCTGGGTGCTGGCCCACTTCTATCTTGAGCTATGTGACAATGGCAGCGCTAAACCATCCCCAGATTCCTGGCCCACAGAAAGTGTGAGATATTTATAGTTTTAAGCGGCTATATTTCAAGGGTGATTTGTTCATTGTTAATAGAAAGCTAATACGTCAAACCATTCAAACACAAATATTTTTTCCAAAAAAATATTTTAATATGTATTTCTAAAATGCAAAGACAGGAATGGGCATTGTGGCACAGGTGGTTAAGTCACTGGGACTCCCATATCCCACATCGGAGTGCCTGGTGTCCTGTTCCAGGTCCATTTTTGAGCCAGCTTCATGGAAACTGCATTAGCATTGTGACGGTGTGGGGGGAGGGGGGCACTTTAAGAGATGATCAGGTTGCGGGAGGGCTGAGTGCCTTCATTATGGGAGTGAGCCGGTTGCCAAGAGGGCGGACTGTCATAAAGCCAATCCACCCCTTGCTCACTTCCCCTCCTGCCCCTCCACCATGGCAGGACCCAGCACGAGGCCAGCACCACGCCCTTGGGTTTCCCAGCCTCCAGGACCACGAGCCAAGTAAAGTTCTACTCTTTATAAATGACTTAGTCCCAGGTCCTCCACCAAAAGCAGCACACCAAGGCATCAAACTGTCTGCTCCTCAATCCCCATTGATTTTTATTTTCCTCTCTGCACACTGATGGCACAGCTGCAGATTCTAAGGGACAGATGCGTGCACGGGCCATGGGCACATCACTGGGGAGGCCCAGAAATCTCTCGGAGCTGGGCACAGGCTAGGAAAAGCGTGGCGATCCCACTTTATTAAGAGGTGGGGGTGACCCCGCCAGAGGACAGCTGGACTGGATTCCCTTGGGCAAATATTTACCAAGTCCCACCCAGAAGCCAGGTGCTGAGGGTGCCCCGTATGGTCTAAGGTCCACAGGTGGAGAAACAGCAGCCACACGGGTTTCCGTGCAGGGGAGGGGATAAGTACAGCACGGAGACAACTGGAGGGCAGTGCAGTCACTCCGGAGGTTAAACTTCTCATCAGCTTTGTCGATTCATGACAAGCCAAAAGAGAGCGCAGAAACATGCATGTAGCTGCTGGAAATAAACCTTCCCTCCCTTGCACTCAATGAGTCCATGTCCCAGGTGAAGGTGGGACCCTGGGATGTGATCTACCACTTCCGCAAGTAGAGGAGAAAAAGTAGCATCTTTCCCCCACCCATCACAGGGGGCGGAGCTGACAGTCCTACAGCCCAGAATAGATTAACCAGGTGCTGTGGCGTAGCAGGGTAAAGCCACTGCTTGCAGTGCCGGCATCCCATATGGGCACCGGTTCAAGTCCCAGCTGCTCCACTTCCGATCCAGCTCTCTGCTGTGGCCTGGGAAAGCAGTGGAAGATGGCCCAAGTCCTTGGGCTCTTGCACCCAACATGAGAGACCCGGATGAAGCTCCTGTCTCCTGGCTTCAGATTGGCACAGCTCTGGCCACTACAGTCACTTGAGGAGTGAACCAGTGGATGGAAGACCTCTCTCTCTCTCTCTCTCCCTCTCACGCTCTGTGTAACTCTGCCTTTCAAATAAATAAATAAATCTTAAAAAAAAATAAATCAAGTTTATTTAATCAAGGGTTTTGCAGCACACAGGAGCCTTCAGAAACGAAGATCCAATGCCCCAGGGGATTGGGGCTGGATTTACACCTGGGTTCAGTGAAGAACGGGCAGTGGTACACAGGGCTGCCTGGACACAAGGGGTGTGAGCTGATGGCAATAAACTGAGGAGGGGGCATCCCGCCGGGCCTGCTCAGTCAGATTCTTCCTGATCTTGGGTCTAAGGCAGGACCCCTCTGGAATGAGGGTCCTGTAACCTACTTTGAGGTGCGGCAGGGCAGGAATTTTATGACCATGATTCACACCCAAAGTCGGGCAAAAGGCAGAGGTTAAGATCTGCTTCTGGCCGGTGCCGCCGCTCACTAGGCTAATCCTCCGCCTTGCGGCGCCCGCACACCGGGTTCTAGTCCCGGTCGGGGCGCCGGATTCTGTCCCGGTTGCCCCTCTTCCAGGCCAGCTCTCTGCTGTGGCCAGGGAGTGCAGTGGAGGATGGCCCAGGTGCTTGGGCCCTGCACCCCATGGGAGACCAGGAGAAGCACCTGGCTCCTGGCTCCTGGCTCCTGCCATCGGATCAGCGCGGTGCGCCGGCTGCAGCGCGCTGGCCACGGCAGCCATTGGAGGGTGAACCAACGGCAAAGGAAGACCTTTCTCTCTGTCTCTCTCTCTCACTGTCCACTCTGCCTGTCAAAAAAAAAAAAAATCTGCTTCTGTGGTTTGCTCACTTGCCCGAGAGCCTCAGTGGGAGCACCGTCTGCAGAACCCCAACATGTCGTTCTCGCCTCTCTCGCGAAAGACTTGAGTGCATTTTTCACACAACATCTTCCCTAAACCCAAAACCGATGCTGATGCTTTGTTAAAGCCACAATGAGGGGCCGGCGCTGTGGTGTAGCAGGGAAAGCCACCGCCTGCAGCGCCAGCATCCCATGTGGGCACCGATTCGAGTCCCAGCTGTTCCACCTCCAATCCAGCTCTGCTGTGGCCTGGGAAAGCAGTAGAAGATGGCCCAAATGCTTGGGCCCCTGCACCCGCGTGGGTGACCCGGAAGAAGTTCCTGGCTCCTGGCTTCGGATTGGCTCAGCTCTGGCTGTTGTGACCATCTGGGGAGTGAACCAGCGGATAGAAGACCTCTCTCTCTGCCTCTCTGTAACTCTGACTTTCAAATAAATAAATAATTTTTTTTATATATTAAATCAACTACAGGAAGAGTTGGTCAGTGAACTATTATAATCTGAAATGTAAAAACCATGCTAAAAGGGTCATTGAAGAGAACACTGCAGGTAAAAGTTATGAGAGCAGGAATCAGAAATAAGCAGAACTTCTTGCCTATAGGACAGAAACAAGCAGGGGGTACTTAATCAAATCCCATTGTTGGGGCTGGCACTGTGGCACAGCGGGGTACGCCACCGCCTGGGACATCTCATCCCACATCGGAGTGTAGGGAGTGTGGGCTGGAGTCCCGGCTTCTCTGCTTCTGATCCAGCTTCCCGCGAACGCATCCTGGGAAGCACTCAAGTGCTTGGGCCCCTGGCCACCCTAGATGCAGCTGCTCCCAGCTTTGACCCGGCCCCGCCCCACCTGTTGTGGCATTTGGGGAGTAAACTAGTGGATGCAAGATCTATCTCTCTGCCTTTCAAACAGATTTTTAAAAAAGTAAAATAGGCTGGCGCCGCGGCTCACTAGGCTAATCCTCCACTTGCGGCGCCAGCACACCCGGTTCTAGTCCCGGTCGGGGCACCGGATTCTGTCCTGGTTGCTCCTCTTCCAGGCCAGCTCTCTGCTGTGGCCCAGGAAGGCAGTGGAGGATGGCCCAAGTGCTTGGGCCCTGCACCCCATGGGAGACTAGGAGGAAGCTCCTGGCTCCTGGCTTCAAATCGGCACAGTGTACCGGCCATAGCGGCCATTTGGGGGGTGAGCCAACAGAAGGAAAACCTTTCTCTCTGTCTCTCTCTCTCTCACTGTCTCTGTCAAATAATAATAATAATAAAAAAAAACATTAAAAAAAAGTAAAATAAAATAAACATTTAAAAAATCAAAAAGAGTGGAGGAGATAAACAACAGTGTAATGGTGATAATCTCAAACCAAGAGATGAGTCATGGATTGGGGAACCTCATTATACCTTTCTCTTCGCTTTCGTTTGGGTTTGACAATCTCCTTGATAAAATGTAGGCTAGAGGCTGGAGCTGTGGCATAGCAGTAAAGTCTGCAGTGCCGGCATCCCACATGGTCGCCGGTTTGAGTCCCAGCTGCTCCACTTCTGATCTAGCTCTGCTGTGGCCTGGGAAAGCAGTAGAAGATGGCCCAAGTCCTTGGGCCCCTGCACCCATGTGGGAGACCTGGAAGAAGCTCCTGGCTCCTGGCTTCAGATCAGCCCAGCATTGGCTGTTGTGGCCATCTGGGGGAGTGAACCAGTGGATGGAAGACCTCTCTCTCTCTCTGTGCCTCTCCTCTCCTCTCTCTGTGTAACTGATTTTCAGATAAATAATTTTTTTTTTTGAAGGAAGGTAGCCAAGTCCGAATACCGGTGAACATAGCATTTAACCATAACCGCCATCCCCAAAATTGTAGACTAATACAAAATACCTGATCTGTGAACTTACTTCTAAGAATAATGACTTTTTCTAAGGCCCTTAATGCTCTCTATAAACCTTTGAGAGAGACTGACTTGGTCCTCACGCTGCAGACACGGAAAATGGGGTTCGATCTTTCTCTAGGGAGATGGAACAAGGAGCTCAAACCCTAGCTTCTCTCAGCCCTCGCTCCCTTGCTCCGCCACCCCAGCCCAGCAGGGAGAGGCCCGGAGAGGAGCCGCACTCGGCCCAGGCTTCCCTCTCCTCTCCTACGCACAGAAATTCCAGGGCCGAAGCCAGCGCGGGGCGCGGCGACCTGGCGCGGGGTCTTGTCGGCCCGTGGGGGACACTCCCGGGTTTGCCATCCGCTGCGCGCTCACCCCGCCCCGGCGCGGCCACGCCCCGCCAGCTGTCCGGCCGCGCGGCCTGGCCGGAGCTCCCCGCGGGGAGGGCGCTGTGTGTCCTTGGGCGGAGCCGGGAGGTGACTCTGGCCGAAGAGGACGACGCAGCATGAGGGCCCTGCGGGTGAGGGCCCCCAACGGCCGGGCCGGGCTCCCTGCTCAGCGCCCTTACCCTAAACATCCCGGGATCTGGGGCCGTGCAGCTACCCCCGTCCGAGCTGCGGAGGTAGCTGGGACCCCAGAGCGCTGGGGTTTAAAGCTCTTCCCTTCCTCTAGGGCCCCTGGGGGCTGGGAACCTAACACCCCTAACCCTCCCTGACACTTCAGGGGCTGCCTGGAAACCCCAAGGGACCTGCCGTCCAACCCCGCCACATTCATGGGACCTGACCTCTCATTAATCCAGGGAGCCCCAGATCCCCCCAAAGCTTCAAGACTTGGGCTCCCAGAGCATGAGTCTCCTTCAGGGCAGCCTGGTAACCTCCAAGTCAGTTCTCTTCTGGCCTTTTCTTGCCAAGAGCCCCCTCCCCACCTTCCCGGGCAGGTGAGAGGCCTGGGTAGGGTTCATCCCACGTCCAGGCCTCTCCTCCCCGCCATGCCAGACCCTCCAGGGGCCTCCAACACCACCCGCTCCCGACCCTCCCAGGTGTCCCAGGCGCTGGTCCGCTCTTTCAGCTCTACAGCCCGGAGCCGCTTTGAGAACCGAGTGGCCGAGAAACAGAAAGTCTTCCAGGTAGGGGCAGGGGAGTGAGGAGAACGCCCTGGCTGTAGACTGGGTCCCCTAGCAAGTGACGGGAGGGAGGGATACGCTGTATGGCATGGCCAGCACCCCCTTCTCATTGGCACCCCCCACCCAGGCGGACAACGACCTCCCGGTGCACCTGAAGGGCGGTGGGATGGACAACATCCTCTACCGCCTGACCATGACCCTGACTCTGGGAGGTGAGTGCAGAGCCCGTGTGGCCTGAGCTGCAGCCGGGGGCGGGGGTGGGGGGGACAGCTGGCTCTTGGTCTGGGGTTTGGGGAGAGGACCCTGAGCTGACCAGGCTGGGGACCACGACTGGTAACCAGGGAAGGAGACACCTAGGCTCCCAGGTCCTGGGCTGGGGATGGGCCTGGGGCCCAGGTAGGAGTTGAGCAAGCACCCAGCCTGGTGCAGACCAATGCCAGGGGATCCCCACCTGGAGTCCAGTTTGGAAATGGATCCAGACTGGTGTCTGCAGAGCCCAAGCCAGGAGGTTCAGGGTGGCGATTGGGGTCTCAGACTGTCACCCCCACTTCTGCTTCCCAGGCACTGTCTACAGCTTGTACTGCCTTGGCTGGGCCTCCTTCCCCCACAAGAAGTGAGAACAAGACGCCTGGAGGACACAGGGGACTTCAGTATCAATAAATGTGCTGGCTCTGGCCTCTGTGTGTGTGTCCAGGCCATGCTCCCATCAGCCCCTGGCCTGTGCCCTGTGGATGGCCTGCTGCCCCAGCCCCTGCCCCCCCAGGCTGGACCAGGGCTACTCCCCATCTCCCAGTATTGCTGTCGCTCCGCCCTCCACTGAGGCCTCCAAACACAGGCCTCGGGCTGTGCCTCGGGGCCTGGGGCCCTGGGGTGGTGTTCCTGAGTGGGACAGGAGTCCCGGGACCTGCTGTGCGGCCCTCTCCCCAAGGAGGAAGTCAATGCTGAGCACCGGCCAGCAGACACAGAGGCAGAGGCAAGTGAGGACAGACTCACCCAAGGCCGGGGCTGAAACAGCAGCGCACGTGGCCTCGAGGGACAGAGCCTGAGATGGCACTGGGACCTCCCAACAGCCTGGGCTTCCGGGTCCCAGGCTCAGCCTCCAAACCTGTGAGGGACTGAGCAAGAACCAGGCCACACCCCCCAGCATGAGACAAGGTCAGAGACGGGACCAGGAGCCAAGCAGATCCAGGCCTGGGGAAGGCAGGAGACAAAAGCCACCGCACCCCACCCACTCCCCAGCGCCCAAGCCGGAGCCACCCCTCAACTTTCAGAACAGGCGAGGTCCCATAGACAGCAGCCACTAGGGTGCATTTATTTCCTGCTTGGCCTGGCAGGCTGGGGGCAGAATACAAAGGCACTGGGTGTGTGGGCCTGGGATGGCCTGCAGTGTGTTTGGCTGCCCGGGTGGTAACCGAATCTGTGTGTCAGGGTGTGTAGGGACCGGAGTGATCTTTCCAGAGCTGAGAGAGGGCCCTTGGGCATGGAAGCCACCCAAGGGCTGGGCTTGGCACAGACACAGGACAGAGGTTATACAGAAGGTATCAGGAGTGTATACAGAAGGTGTGTCAGGAGTGGGGTGACAGAGCATGCTAGAATGTCTTGGAGCCAGGGGTAACTTAGGGTGTGGCTCGCTGGGGCGTGTTGGGCTGTGGGTATTGCCTGAGAAGCTGGATGCCAAGGGCTGAGGGAACCAAAGGCCTGTGGGTCAGCAGGACCCAAGAAGACGCAAGGACAGACGGGACCTGCCCTGGGAGAGACCAGGGTCCGAGGTGACTCCTCCGGCGAGGCGGAAGGGGGCGGCTCTGGGGTTTCCACTCAGGAGTACATCGTCAGCTGCAGCCACTGTGGGGAAGAAGGCAGAGCTCAGAGCTGGCGCACGGGACAGCGGGGGGGCCAGGCACCCGTGAGCCAGGAAGCGGGTTCTTACCTCCTGGATGTTCACCTGGATTTGCCCAGTGCCATCTTTGTCAAGAGATTTGAAGGCACCTGGGGGAGAGAGAGTACAAGTTAGATGGGAGGGGAGAGACGGGCTTTTCGGGATGATCTTACTCCGGCACACGGGATGATGGTGACGTTAACAGTCACAGCCGGCACGCCCCCGGATATTTACTCTGCAGGAACTCAACAAAGTGCTTTCCATGCTAACCCATCTAACCCAAGCGCCATTTGAAAAATGAGGCTCAGGGAAGCGGGGCAGTGTGCCCCAGGTCACAGAGCGAGAAAGTGAGAAGTTAGGATGGAAAGCCAGGCTGCTCCCCAGCTCAGGAATGGCCTCTGTCTCCCGACCTGCACCCCCCAGCCCCCACCGCCGTCTGTGCTCCACCCTCCCCGGTTCCAGCCCCGGCACCGAGGCTCTGAGTCTCGGCGATTCCCATGCTTGCCCTGAATCGCGGCTCCATGTTCGCCACTCACAGCCGGCCCAGCCGAGTGGCGCCTGCACTGTCTCTGCTTCTAGGCGTTCATCAGTCACCACCCCCAGTGGTGCTCTGGGCACCGCACTCCCTACCTGCCTAAGGGCTGTTTCTGGGGCCTCCTCATTTGTTACCCGTGGCTCCCGCCGTCCCCGTGGCCCTGACATCTCGCACAGCTGCCGCTGTTCCTCTAGCACACGCATTGCACTGTCCCCCCGAGGGTCTCTCTGCAGCCAAACCTGCCTGCCTAGGACCCTCCTGGCTCTCCAAAGCCCCTGGTAGAGTCTGAGCACCGCCCTGGGATCTCGGGAGGCCAAAGGATCTTTCTGTAGTCAATCTTTTTCTTTCTGTAATCCTTTTCTAAAAAAAGATTTATTTATTTGAAACATGGGGTGGGGGCAGAGGGAGAGGGGACAAAGACAAAGAGACCATTCATTCTCCAAATGGCTGCAACAGCTGGGGCTGGTCCAGGCTGAAGCCAGGAGGCTGGAGTTCCATCTGGATCTCCCACGTGGGTAGCGGGGACCCAAGCACTCTGGCCATCTTCCACTGCTTCCCCAACGCATCAGCAGGGAGCTGGATTGGAAGTGGAACAGCCAGGACTCGAACTGGCACCCATACGGGATGCCATACCCTGAGGCAAGAGCTTAGCTTGCTGTACCACAATGCCAGCTCTTCTTTAGCCAAACCTGATCCTGTTCCTTCCCTGTCTGGAACTTCAAGGCTCTCCAATCCTTTAGTAGAATCCGAGCACCATGGACCTGGCATTCACAGCCCCCTGCATGGCTCCTGCTTTCTGTTCAACTCCACCCACATCTCAGACAGATCCAAGGTCAAATTCCTTCCCAGGTTCCTAGCTGAGTGGCTGTGAGCCTGCAACGTCACCTCTCTGAATCCTAGATTCCTCCTCCATGAAAAGGGGAAATAACTCCTACTTCTCAGGGATGTCTTAAGAATTCAGTCTGGGGCCAGCACTGTGGCGTAACAGATTAAGTATCTGTCTGCAGTGCCAGTATCCCATATGCGTGCTGGTTCGAGAACCAGCTGCTCTACTTCCAATGCAGCTCCCTGCTAAGAGGCTTGGGAAAGCAGCAGAAGATGGCCCAGGTGGTTAGGCCCTTGCACCTGCATGGGAGACCTAGAAGACGCTCCTGACTCCTGGTTTCAAATCAGCACAGCTCTGGCCATTGCAGCCATCTGGGGAGTGAGCCAGCAGATGGAAGACCTCTCTCTCTCTCTCTCTGCCTCTGCCTCTCTGTAACTCTGCCTTTCAAATAAATAAATAAATCCTTAAAAAAAAAAAAAAAAGTATTCAATATATGGGGAGGGCATTTGGCACGGTGGTTAAAAAGCTGCCTGCATCTCATATTGGATTGCCTGGGTTCAAGTCTTGGCTCTATTTTGTATTGTAACTTCCTAGTAATAATATGTACACTAGGGGGCTGGTATCCCATACGGGCACTGGTTCGTGTCCCAGCTGCTCCTCTTCTGATCCAGCTCTCTGCTATGGCCTGGGAAAGCAGTGGAAGATGGCCCAAGTGCCTCACATGGGAGACCTGGAAGAAGCTCCTGGCTCCTGGCTTTGGATTGGCTCAGCTCCGGCCATTGTGGCCATTTGGGGAGTGAACCAGCTGATGGAAGATCTTTCTCTTTGTCTCTCCCTCTCTGTGTAACTCTACCTCTCAAATAAATAAATAAATCTTTTTTTAAAAAATATGTACACTGGGATCATGGTTCGACACTCTGGGTCCCTGCCACCTTTATGGGAGTCCCGGAGTGAGTTCCCAGTTCTCTGCGTCAGCCTGGCCCAGCTGTAACAGTTGTGGACAACTGGGACTGAACCCTTGGCTGGGAGATCTCTGTCTCTCTTCTCTCTCTCCCTTCCTCCCTCTTTATCTTTCAAATAAAATAATTTTTAAAAGATTTTATTTATTTCAAAGTCAGAATTACAAAGAGAAAGAGGGAAAGACAGAGAGAGGGAGAGATCTTCCATCCACTGGTTCACCCCCCAAATGGCCACCATGGCCAGGGCTAGGCAAGGCCAGAGCCCGGAGCCAGGAGCCATTAGTTTCTTCCAGGTCTCCCACATGGGTACAGGGGCCCAAGAACCTGGGCCGTCTTCTGCTGCTTTCCCAGGTGCATTAGCAGGGAGCTGGATTGGAAGCGGGGCAGCCAGGACTCCAACTGGTGCCCATACGGGATCATATGGGATGTTGGTGCTGCAGAAGGCAGCTTAACCTACTACACAACAGCACGGGCTCCAATTTTCTTTCTTTCTGCCTTTTTTTTTTTTTTTAATTAAGCACAGTAACAGCCATAAAAGCCCTCATGGCCTAGTCCCTACCAACCCATCCCAACCTTATGCTTCCTTATCCCACCCTCTCTGCAGCACTCTTTGAGCTGTACGACTCTTCCCTACCCTCTTACTGAGTTCCCTCCTCCTTGGCTCTCACCCTACACGTACTCTCCTCTAGGGAATCCACCCTGGTCCATCAGATTCGCCAAATGCCTCCTAGGTTCAGGCAGCTCTCTGGGCAGCCCCAGGCACCACCTGAACACACTAGGCCTCCCCCGTCACAGCCCCGCCACTGTGACCCAGCCACAACCAGCTTGGAGGGGTCACTACCTGGTGACTGGGTCTCCTCCCCTGCGGCTGTGCCAGTCACTGCAGGGGCCCTAGCCTCACCCACGTCTAGGTCAGGCTTAGAGACTTTGGCCAATGGAGGTTGAACAAGTCCCCACCCAGGACAGCAAGCGAGAGGGTGACTCACGGAACATGGCGTCCAGCCTGACCAAGCAGCTGATGAAGTTGTCAAAATCCATGTTTCCTGCCTCATCTGAATAGCGTCGGATGATCATGTTGTAGAGATGCTCATTCAGGTGGAACCCTGCCAACGGTTTCGTCCTCAGGCGTGCGTGTGGGGGGAGGCACTCAGCTCACTCCCGTGCCCAGGACTCGGGCTCAGCCCAGCCTCGCCATCCCACCCCCAGCCCCGCTGGGTCCCTGCCAGGCCACACCTGCTGCCTCAAAGGCTCCCGGCAGTTCCCGGCTGCAGATGGTCCCTGATCGGTCAACATCAAACTGTTTGTATGTGGCCTGTGGGGACAGAGGTCAGGGTTCAACGGGGCATCATGCGGCAAGGGGTCTCTGTGACTTGGGGGTCTGGATGCCACGCACCTGCCACTTTTTGATGTTGTTCCACAGGTACTTGAACTCCTCAAAGCCCAGCTTGCCCGTGGTGTCGCTCTGGGGGGAGGTTGTTAAGGACAGTGTGACAGCTGTGCCCAGATGCACGCCACGTGCGCGTTGTGTACGTGATGGGAACCCGGGCTGCAACTCCTGCTCCAGTGCAACCTAGTCATGGCCCCTGCGCTGCGGCTTTGTTACCTGTCTATCCACATAGCTCTGCGTTTAGAGTTCTCGATAAGAATGCTCTTTAATTCCACTGGGAATGATACTGAGCTCCAAACTCCCAAATGCCTCATCTACAAAGAGTTGTTAATTCCTCATTCATAACATTCTTGATATTAACTCATTTAATTAATGTTAAGACATATTTACAAAAAGGAAAAGAGTATTCTAAAAATTCTAAGGAAGTAAGGTAAGCAAGTGGCTGCTGGATTTTTGGCAAAACTGAGATCCTGTTATAAAGTCCTTAGCTGAAGGCCTGGCATTTTAATAAGCGCTCAATAAACAACAACAACGGCCGAGACTCACCAAGTTGTCTAGTACATGCCCCACTCTGTGCTCCACTCCTCAGGAACACTGCTTTTCTCACTAAGTCCTCAGGACACCAGCCCTACCAGAATTGGTCTCAGAGAAACAGACTCAAGGCGGAAAGGTCTTCCCAAGTAAGCCCACAGGAGCAGCCAATGGGTGCACGCCACGTGTGTTGTGCTGTGCTAAACCTTTTGCAGGGAGCTCGTTTGGTGTCGCCATGATGCACACTCCACTTTGCAGACAGGGAAAGTGCACAGAGAGGCCGTTAAACTGGGTAAAGGGTACAGCCAGGTTGTTTCACCCTAGGTAATATGTGCATGAGCACATGACACATATGTATGCACACGTGTTGTGCTACTCTGTGTGCTGGGTGTGCACGTATCGAAGAGCTGCTAACAACTGGCCCATATGCAAATACACATGTGTTCCCATGGACGTTCCTTCATATCCCTTCACGTGTGTATGTGTGTGTATGGGCATGTGAGTGTTATAAGCTTAGATTCTCAGGGCAAAAGATCTCAGTCCAAATTCCTATCCTGCTGCCTACTCTTGAATTATAGCTTCAGACAAATGACTGCTTCTGCCTGATGCTGAGTCCCCCACCAAGCACTGGAGTATAATAATGTGCCCACTTAACCGCATGGCTGTGAAGGGCCAGTCAGTCAACGTAAGAAAAGTGCCAGCTGCGACAGCTCATGTGTCACTTGTTGCCACGTGCCTACAGGTGGGTCCATGAGCGGGGGTACAGGAAAGCTAGCCTCTGTCTCATACTCGCAGAAAACCCTCTGTTCACCCAGGGCCCCTCCCCCAGACTGTCCCCCAAGGATACGTCCATCACGGCCACCATGCTGCGACATGTGTCAAGGCCAAAGCCATCGGTCTTCAGATCAGGGTCTGCGAGGAACAGGGTGAAGATCAGAGAACATAGGTCAGAGTCACCCCAGCCCCCATGCCTCCACAGCTGCCCAGTACTCACGTCGGGTCACGACCTTGTTGAGAATGTTCATGAGTTCTGTGGCACTCACCTCCATGTCCTGGGGGCAGAAGGCAGACACAAGTCAAGGGGGACAGCAAGAGGCCTGGGCAGGTCATGAAGCGGGAACTTTGGGGCCGTGGGGGTCACACAGCCCAAGGTCAGGTGGGGCTGGGCTGGGGCAGGGCCAAGCCCCAGGCTACTTACATCTCCGGCCAGCTGGGCAAACAGTCTCCGGAACTGCCGGACCTCTTCGCTCTCGTTGGCCTCAATGTTGGAATAGTGGGTTCGTGGGGGCTGCCGAGGGAGGAGACCTCAGGGCTGGCTGGGGGCGGGTGCCCTGGCCAGGGCAGCTCCCTGAACCCCAGCACCCTTGGAGGGAAAGGCAGAGAAGGCTGGGCGGCGGGCTGATCGGAGGAGTGAGGGGTGGTCGGGGACCCAGAGGGGAGCAGCGCAGCACGGGTAGGGCCCCGGGACAAGCTGAGGGCCCTGGCCAGGAAGGCCCTTGATGGCGGAGGAAGTTCACTACCAGGGGAAGAGAGGTCAGACTTCTCTCAGGGGACAGGGATGGAACTTGGAGAAGGCCTCGGAGCAGAGGGGCGGCTTACCGGGGGCTCCGGGTTGTACTGCGCAGCTGCCTCGCTGAGAGGAGACAAGGGGGAGTTAGCGCCGGGGGCGGGGCCTCCAACGGGCAGCGCAGCGGAACCCGAACCGGAACCGGAACCGCCAGTTCCGACCCCCACACCCCAGCCCACCACCCTTCGCACCCGGTCCCTCTGCCCCTCGACCGCCTTCGTCCTCATGTGTCCCAGTCCCTACCGCCTCGTTCCTCTCCGTCAGGCCAACGCCAACGGCGGACCCGCCCCCGCGGGAGGCAGTGACCAGTGACCAGCCCCCCACTTCTGCCCTGACTCCTCCATATGCGCCGCCCCTTCGAGGGCTGCCGCCATGGGCTCTGCCCCCACTTCCCAGGGCTTCAGCTCCGTGAAGTCCCAGCTGCCCAGGACTCCACGCCATCACCCCCCTGCCAGAGGCCTGTCTTCTCAATGTCGCATTCCAGCCCCGCTGGTCCCCACCCATTTCCAGGGCTCGCTGCTTGCTGGCCACCTGGATCCCAACGACCTGTCCTACCCCTACCAATGCATTTTTCGTCCATTAATCCAGCCAATTCCTGGCCAGGCTCAGCCCCTTCTGGGCCATTTGGCCTATCCCATGGGGCCTTTGGCCTTTTCTGGGCCCACCTACCCAACGACCCCCCACTAGAAGCATAGGTCAAACTCTACTCCCATGAAGGGGCACCCACTCATTAGCCCCGCCTCCTAACACTCCTCTCCAGGTTAGCCAGAGCAGGTGCACCCAGTCCCAGAAGTCCCACAAGTCCCACTTCCCAAGGCAGATCCGGGAGCCATCCACGTGAGGCCCACATCCAAAATATGCCCGCGAAAATCCCCGCCCCCCTGAAGTGACATCCAGGCTCATTAGGGGTCTGCTTCTGATGCTAAGCCTTAATTAAAGCCCTCAAGGCAGACTCCAGATGAACCCTTGTGTCCTTAGACCACGCCCCTCCAGGCCCCGCCCCGGCCCCCAGGCCCCGCCTTACCTGATGGCGCTGATGACTCCGCCCAGGATGCGCATGGCTGTTCCGCCGCCGCCTGCTCCCCCGCCGCCGCCGCCGCCGCCGCCACCGCCCCCAGCCCCGCTGATCAGGCCTCCGAGAACATTCCCTAGGCCCCCGCCCAGGCCCCCGCCTCCCCCGCCGCCGCCGCCGCCCTTCAGGAACGAGTTAACCAGGAACATGGCTGCGGCTCAGACTCCTGAGGGGAGAAGGGAGTCCAGTGGCCGCCTCGCCCGGGCCTGCCCCCTCCCGCAAAATACGCATTTCCGGTAGCTGGACGTGGGGGGGACTCCGGGGCCCCTGGGCGGGGGCCGGTCCTCACACTGGGTCTGGGTGCCCTTTGCACGGCTGGGATGGGGACGGAGGAGCAGGTTTGGAACTCGTGGCGTGGCGGACGCAGCCCTGGCTGCAAGCCTGGCCAGCACTGAGGGGAGGGGTACAGCGGGGTTCTCCCGATGGGGTCCCAGGTTGGCGTGAGGGACCCCCGACGAGTCTGGGTGCTCAGCTCTGAGATCCAGGGTCCCATACTTGAACTTGGGGGTCCCGGGCGGGTCAAGAGGCTTTGGGCGGGGCTTAGGAAATCTAAGTCCCCGAGATGGGGACTGGGAGTCCTAGAGGCCCGGGAGAGCGGGGGTCCCCACCGGAATTCGGAGCTCGGATTTAGGATCTGGACGCCCCGTGGGAGGCTCTACAGGGCACTATTAAGTCGGTGGGCTTGTGTCCTGGGACAGGGAGGGTCCTAGGGACAGGATAACGGGGGGTCGGGCAGGACGGAGGGTTCGAATCTGAGGTCATGAGTCTGGGAGACCCCTGAGGCCAGGGATGCAAGGTGCAGGGGGAGTCCGGGCAGAGCGCTCCCGCTTCACTTACTCGTCCGGCGGTCCGGCGGTCCGTTGGTCTGCGGCTCCCGGGCCTCCCGCTGCGTCCGGCTCCGGAGGGCGGGGCCCGTGACTCATGCAGCGACTTTCGGGTTAAACCCTGGCGCAGCCGGGCCGCCATCCGCGCGGTCCTAGAGCTGCTCCGCCCTGCGCGTTTCCGCCGCCCGAGGCGCCAGCCCCGCCCCGGCTTGCTGGGTGCCAGGGCCTCTGCCCACCTCTGCGGCGCGAGAGCGATCGCGCCCGGGGACAAGATCTCCACGATGCACCTGTGCCTGCCTCGGACCAGGCCACGCCGCGGTGCGCTCTCGGAACTCGCATCCGTGGCAAGGACTGAGGCTAGACTGGACTCCCCTGGCCCCTGCGGCCGCCCACGGAGGCCGCCTGTGCCTTTTCCCACCTGTGTCGCTAGCCCACGGTGTCGCCTCGCTCTTCCCGCCTTAGAGGGCCGCGGGCACGGAGTAGTCCCCTGGCCGCGGCCTGGTTTCTCAGGGGGAGGGAGACAAGATGTCTGCCGCTTGCTCTCCAGTTCCAGCCTCCACCCTGTGAACGCCCAGTACTTTTCCGGGGCTTCTCAGAGGGACGGGAATCAGGCTCCCAGGTGCTCTGGCCCTCAGCCCCTCCCCCGGGGGGCGGCTAGAACTGAGCTGGGATCCCGACCTGCCGAACCCCCACCCCCCAGGCCCCTGTCAGAACTAAGTGACAAGAGTTTGGTGAATGGCAGCTGTCAGCTGCGGCATTGGAGCCCACCCGGACTCCTCAGCGACTGGACTTCTGCGCGTGCCATACGACAGAGTCAAATGACCGCCAGGCATTCCAAGCGCTTTCCATGTATCGGCCCGCTGGTGCTCCTAACGGCCCTTTGGGATGGGTGCTGTTTAATATCCCCATTTTACAGATATATAAACGGAGGCTCAGCCCAGGCAGCCAGGCTTCTAAAGCTATATCCTTAACCACTACCCTCGTGGTAACATCAACGGCATAATTAATATGATAATAACAAGATCACGCCTGACAAGCAGCGCTTCCTGAGGGCTTGCTGGGGCTGGGTCTTGTCTGAGGCGGGATCCAACCAGACAGGAGGTGCAGGCTCCCAAAGTCAGGGTCACAGCCGGTGACAGGACCAGCTCTGAACCCGACGAATCTTTCGGCAATGACTAATCTGAACGCCCTCCTGGGCTCAGCTCTCCCTGCCTCCTGCCAGAAGCAGACTCATTTGCATGGCCGGGACACTCCTGCCTTTTGTGTTGGATTTTTATTGTGGCCTGCTTGTGTGCTTACTTGGAGGGCTTTGGGTATCAGCTCAGGGGCCTCCTCTTCTAGGAAGCCCTCCTGGTCTTCACCCCCACCCGAAACTAGATAAGGCTTCCAGCTAAGTGCTCTCCAAATGCCTTGCACTTTTTCATGCCATTCACTGCCAATTACAGTCAGCTCTGTCTCCCTGGGCAGCCAGGTCTTGGGTTTGTTTCGGTCTCTTGTCTGTACCACACATGCCACAGATGCCACCTCCTCCCACGGCTTAAATGCCACCCTGCGGCTGCCAACACCCAGAGTTCTACCCTGCAGCCCAGGTGCCTCCAGGCTGCCACATCCGGCGTGCTCCGCCCGCGCCGGGGCAGAGGGTGCAGGATCTCAGAGGGATGTCAAGCTCCACACTCCTGAAACTGAGCTTCTGACCTTCTCCAAACTCGCCGCCTTCCACACCCGGGCCACAGCGTCACTGTCTCTGTGGAGAAACACGCCAGGCTGGTTCTTGAGCCCTCTCTCTCTCCACATCCACCCCACCCCCACCAGTCAGAACTTGCTGGCTCCATCTAAAGAATCTGGGGTCCTTCCCCTCACCTGCCATCCTGCACGGTGCTTGCCCCGGTCTGTGGAGGCTGTCGCAAGTGTGCATGGGCTTCCTCATTTTTTTTTTCTCACCATAATAAAAATCTTATATTTCTATTTCCCATGAAATGGACGCTGCCAGGCACAGCAGCCTCCTGCCTGCTCCCTGCTCTTGGTCCTGCCTCCTACAGTCTGCTCCCCCACGCAGCCCTGCAGGAAGCCCGTGGACATCTGAGTTGGGTTGGGGTCCTCCTGACTTCGCCCTCTCTGGCTGCATCTCATCCCAAGTAAGAGTCAAAGGTCTCTCTGCAGCCTCCACGTCCCTACCCTTCCCCTCTCTGCCCTCACCTCTTCCCTCCCGAGAAGCTGGGCCTGGGTGTTCCCAGCTGAGCGCACAATTCCACGAGGAGGCTCTGCGAGCTGGCAGTGTCCACACGGCCTCTGGCCCGGCGTTCAGGGCGCTGCTGCTCCACTACCGAGGCCCTCTGCAGCTCCCCTTCGTGCCCCACGTCTTACAGCCCAAGTGTCCCCGTCTAGGGCGCTCAGGAAGGTCCTCAGGTCTCCGATCATACCCCTAGCTGTCCTCAGTCATCAGCGGCTAGCATACCGTACACGTCACTTCTTTATCCCGTTCCTTGTCCATTGCCTCCGCTAACGTGAGCTCCCAGCAGGCAAGGATTCCTGCCTGGCTCATTCCCTGCTATGATCCCCCGTTCCTCAAGTCCTGCCACACCTTAGGTGCTCACCAGTACTTGTTGACTATAGGAATGAAACGTTTTCTGTGTGTTTCTCATTGAATTGTCAGCACCATCAGCGAGAGAGTAGAGCAAGCATTTCTAATGCCTTCCCCCATTTCCCAGGCTCCTTTGCATTCAGCCATGGTTACGCAAAGTGCTTTGGCCTTTGGTGAGTGGAAGTGTTGAGTGGGCTGCTTTAAGCCACGCAGTTGTTGTTCACTGCCTGGGCAACAGGGGGAGCTCTGCGAGCACAGAGGTTCCCCGGGCAGGAAGCCAGCTGTGCTGCTGAGGCTGGCAGGGAAGACAACTGGCCTATGTTGTTGTCCAGACCCACAGCTCACTTTGCATGAGAAATACGTCAGGGCTAGCACTGTGGCCCAGTGGGTTAGGCCACTGCTTACAATGCCTGCATCCCACATGGAAGGGTCAGCGGATCCAGTCCTGGCAACGCCACTTCCAATCCGGCTTCTTGCCGGCGGGCCTGGAAAGGAAGCAGGGGATGGCCCAGGCCCCACCCGTGGGGGCCATTTCAGTAGTGAACCAGCAAATGGAGGATGTTTCTCTGTCTCTCCCTCTCTAACTCTGCATTTCAAATAATGATACAATAAATACTTTAAAAAAAAGAAATTTCAAAGTGTTAACCCATAAGGCCTTGGGTGTATCTGCTGCTACAGTGTCACGGGGCCTAGGCTGACTGTTGCAGATCTTACAAGATCGGCACCCAGGGAGGTGGCATCACTTGCCCCGAAGCTCACAGCCGGTAAGCATGGTTGTCAAGACCCGGATGTGGGAAGTAAGCGTCGTCCCTTACGCTTTTAACTCTCACAGTGTGCTGCCTTAACAACATGAATGTTCTAGAACACCAGCTACTAAACTCCCCATCATCATAACCACTCCAGCGAGTGCGCCACGGCGCCAGGCTGGAGTGATGGCTTTAAGGCCCGTCTCGCCAGGGCCTCTCACAACCCTCTGAGCAAAGAAGTGGAGACACAGAGAGGTGGAGGCCCTTGCCTGGGCCCACACCGTGGAAGGCAAGGCCAAGTTTGCACCCGTGCGTGGTTAATGCCAAGTTGTTGTACAATGACTAATCCAGATACCTGTCCCGTGCCTACCAGCCTGCGGCGGATCTGAGCCACTTCTGTTGCTCCTCCCCAGGCCCCCTGGCAGCCGGGCTCTCCCATGGGCTGGGACTCTGCAGGATGACCCCTCCCATCACTTCGCCAAGAAATCCTTTCTCACATCACCCACCACGGACGGGGAAGCTGTCCCACTACATCTTTCCGGGGAGGTGAGGCCTTTCGGACGTAATAAGTTCACTCAGGAAGGTTCACGACTTTCTTGCGGCTCTGGGCTCGTTCTGCAGGGTGGGTTGTTACGAATGAGCCCAGCCCCCTTGCGCTTGCGTCTTCGATGCCCACCTGCTTGCCTTCCCACTTTTCCCGATGTTCTGGGGGGGCACGAGGTGCCAGATGTCGCTGCCTGCTCTCGGACTGCCAGCCTCCAGCATCATGAGCCACAAACAAAGACTGTTGTCTTTTTTTTTTTTTTAAGATTTATTTATTTATTTGAAAGGCAGAGTTACAGAGAGGCAGAGAGAGAGGGAGAGAGATCTTCCATCCACTGGTTCACTCCCCAGATGGCCACAATGGCCAGAGCTAAGCTGATCCGGAGCCAGGAGCTTCCTCTGGGTCTCCCACATGAGTGCAGGGGCCCGAGGACTTGGGCCATCTTCTACTGCTTTCCCAGGCCATAGCAGAGAGCTGGATCAGAAGTGGAGCAGCTGGGACTTGAACCAGCACCCATACGGGATGCCAGCACTGCAGGCGGCGGCTTTGCCTGCTAGGCCATAGGCCCATTCCCTCGGGGCCTCCCGTGCTGCCTGAGCCCCAGCCCTGCCACGCCAACAGCTGCTGGTTCCCTTGCTCCCGATCCTGTGAGCTGAGCAGTTGGGCGTTTGTGTTTTCCACAGGTGTGCTGATTTTCACAGCGACAGACTTTGGAAGCAGCTGGGAATGCTTGTTCATTGCACGCAATACAGCCGAGTCTATTAAAAATCGTCACCTGCTCTCCCGACATAGCCTCTCGTTAGATTTCTCCTCGGCTTTTTTCCTGGGAACACGGTAAGGCATTTTTGACCAGCCTGCACATGCAAATTTGCATCCTGCTCTCTTCTGCTGAGAGTCTGCATGACTCGGCAGTGAGCAGCTGCACGCCCTCGGCGGCGCACCTGGGACCTGACGTGACACAGCGGAATGACACAGCTGCTCTCAGTGACCCTCATCCTCAGTGAATAAATCAGACAGGAAGGCGGGGCTTCCATTTCTCGTGCGCCCGTGCTCTGGAGAAGCGGCGGAGTGAGTCTCCATTTCCTCTTTCTCCTTCTCACCGCCCGGAACGTGGCTGGGCTGGGAGCCATCTTGGATCACCCAGCCCTGGGTGCTCGCCCCATGCTCCAGGCAGACAGGAGGAAGAAGTGTGGGTGCTGGGTGCCAAGAAGCCTTGAAACCAGCCCTGCTCAGGCTGCCTTGGAAGAAACACAATCCTAGTTTCTTTAATCCACTGACATCCCGAGTTGTGTTATGGGGTTTATATGAAATCCCACGGAACCTACAGGGCCCTTTAACATATGCTCTGAGCACTCTCCCACGACCTTCAACATGTCATTTGCAAAGTGTTCCTGATAGTTCTTCATTTGAGAGTGACTTTCCCCGCATCGAGAGATACGAGCTACGTGCTCGCTTCTTACACCTGCGCGGTTGGTGACCACTCTGGTCAACAGCAGCACCGGGAGCTTCCAAGGCTGGGTTACAAAAGGCCAGGCGGATTTTGCCTGCTTCTCCCCTGACACTCCCTCGGGAGAAAGCCAGGAATAAATAGTTCAGCTGCTGCTGAGACCGCCCGGCTGGGAAGGCCGCATGGAGGTGCTCTGGTTACAGCCCCAGAGCCCAGCCGGCAGCCAAGCTGAGTCACCTCGGATAGCCAGCCTGGTGAGGCCTACACTCGAGGGGAGGGCTCTTAAAGAGAAACAGAACTAAGTGCTTTGTGGGCACACTGTAAACCCATCACCACCTGTGGGGCTGGTGCTGTGATGCCGCTGTATGCAACACTGGATCCCGTATCAGAGCGCTGGTTCAAGAGCTGACTGCCTGGCTTCTGATCCAGCTACCTGTTAATGCACTTGGGAAAGCAGAGGATGGTCTCTGCACCCACATTGGAGACCCGGATGGAGTTTTTGGCCTCTGGCTTCTGCCTGATCCAGCCCTGGCTGTTGTGGCCATTTGGGGTGTGCACCAGGGGATGGAAGATGGATCTCTCTCTCTGTTTCTCTGTTACCCTGCCTTTCAAATAAATACATTTCTAAAGAAATAAATAAACCCACCGCAACAGAAGTTATAAACGCAGCCCCTAACTCTCACCCTAAAGAGGCCACATACTGTAAGCAGCGGCCTGGGCCTGGGGTAGGCGCTGGAGACGCACTCTGCCGCTCTGGGCCCGACGGCTCCATGCCCTTTCCTGTCTGCTGTAACCAGGGCTGCAGCTCCTAGGCGCCCCTTTCACTGGGGTTCACTGGGGGCTGAGCCAATGGAAGCACAGGTGAGAGACGGGGAGGGGGGGCAGGAGCAAGAGGCCCTGGTGATTTTCCTCCTCGAGGGTAATTTTCCGTTTCTCCCTGTGGTTGTGCCTCCTGCATAGCTCCGGCCCCGCGGCTGGACAATTCCTCTGTGTCTGCAGCTAGTCTAGTGAGTGACTAATCTCCGGGGACATGGCTGACATCCCCTCCCCGCTTTGTTCCTGCAGCCCTGAGTGGCAGCCGGGCAGCCCTGTCCCTCTGCTGCGTACAGCTGATTGCGTCGCTCGGCCCTCGGCTCCTCCATCCCAAGTCACCACCCCCCTGGGTTAATGGCCCTCAGTTTTCATGCCAGAGTGATCCGCACCACTCTGCCCCATCTCTCTGCCTTTTAAATAGGTAAAATAAAATAAATAAAATGTTTTTTTGACAGGCAGAGTGGACAGTGAGAGAGAGAGAGACAGAGAGAAAGGTCTTCCTTTGCCGTTGGTTCACCCTCCAATGGCCGGCATGGCCGGCACACCGCGCTGATCCGATGGCAGGAGCCAGGTGCTTCTCCTGGTCTTCCATGCGGGTGCAGGGCCCAAGCACTTGGGCCATCCTCCACTGCACTCCCTGGCCACAGCAGAGAGCTGGCCTGGAAGAGGGGCAACCGGGACAGAATCTGGCGCCCTGACCGGGACTAGAACCCCGTGTGCCAGCGCCACAAGGCGGATTAGCCTACTGAGCCGCGGCGCCGGCCGTCCTTATACAATTTTAAACTTAAGTTCCTTTCATGTGCCCCCCTCCTCCCGTTTTTAAAAAAGGCTTGACTGTGAGGAAGAGAGCAAAAAGTGGGGGAGGCAGGAGTTTGGCTCCAGCTGGGAGGCCCATTTCCACTATGGGTACCCACCGGCGAGGGCTGCGCAGCGCCCAGATCCTTGTCTTTGCTTCGAGAAGAAATTCAGGAGCAAGTTGGAAAACTGACAGGCAAGCTGCAGGGATACACATTGCGCAGAGTGGGCCTGCCTACTGGGGAGTGGGCCTCTGAATCGTGTGGAACATTGTAAAGGTTGTCTAGCCGAAGGGGAGGTACATTCTAATAAAGGGGAGCCATGTCTTAATAAGGGGGAGGAATATTCATGGTTCTTCTGGGAGCTAGCTGCCGCCCCTCTTTGTTCCTTTTATGGCCCAGCGTTTCATGTCAGCAAGGCTGGGTGGGAGCTGTGTCATTAGATGCTAATGAGGTACAGTGAACACAGGATAAACTAGAAGTCAATCTAGGTCATCCTCGGCCCCCTCAACTGTTATGAGCCAGGTCCGGGCAGGGGGTCGGTTTATCTTCAGATCAAGAGGACTGAATGGATACCCTATAGGTCTTTGGAGAACAGGGCTACTCTGTCCGGGGGCTACCCGCTTCCTCTGCCTCCCTGTCTCATTGCCAGAGTCCCTGGGTTGAGTTCTCAGCTCCCTGAAGACGGGGTCACCTCATGCCTTGGCCTGGCGGGAGAACTGAGCTTGGACGTGCAGAGCCCCCTGCATGTGGGTCCATCCGCGTGCCCGCAGCCCAGCGAGCCAATCTCTGACGCGTGGCGGAAGGTGGGTGTTCATGGCCAAGCGCAGGGCAAGCGGCTGGGCGGCTACTGCTGGATTCTCATGCTCCTTGCAGTGTTTGGGGTAAAGGTTCTCACAGGCTGCAGCTGGGGCTGCGGCGTGCATGCCCAGCCGTGCCGGTCCCTGGCCGCTCGGTGTGCTCGGGCCCTCTTTTGGTCACTAACAGCTCAAGGCTGGGGTTCCCTGAGAAGTCCTCGGAGAGAAACACCCTCATGAGTAATTTATGGGGGCCAGCTTACACCACTTCCTCAATTCAGCGAGTTAATTTTTAAGTGGTTGTTTATTTGGGGGAAAGAGAGACAGGGACAGGCAGCTCTCCCACCGGGGGGCTCACTGCCCGGATGTCCACAGCAGCCAGGACTAGGCCAGGTGGACGGCAGCAGCTGGGGCCTCCTTCTGGGTCTCCCATGTGGGTGGCAGGGACCCAAGTGCGTGAGCCAGGGCACACGCGAGCAGGAAGCTGGAATAGGAGGCGGAACCGGGCCCTCTCAAAGGGGACATAAGAGTGCCAAGGGACATCGTAATCTCTGTGCTGAACACTGGCCCCAGAGCGAGTTACGGGAGGAAGTCTAAGACCTCACAGCACTGTTGCAGGGGCACGGGAAGCGAATGGTTAAGATGCAGGAATGCACAGGCCCACTCCAGGACAGGAGTTCCTCGGGTTTCTCTCAGCAGGTGGCCCTGCTCCCCTTCTGGGAGCTGACCGGCGCCAGGCCGCCCGCGCCTGCGCACCAACGCCCTCCTTGTGCTGCGGGGCCGAGTCGCTCCATCCCACCATCCCCCGAGCAGCCTAGGGAGCAAGACCCAAGCTCCCAGACTCGAGCAGGAGGGGGCTGAGGATGTCACACGGCTTTCTGGGAAACGCGGTCTGCGCAGAGCACCAAGCTGAAGGCTCTGGCCCAGCCGCCCGCGAGACCGCGCGCCTCGCACGGCACCGCGTGCAGCGGCTGAGCGGCGCGCTGCTGCCCCCTCGTGGCAGGTGGTCGGTAATGGCCGACGCTGCGGACGCGGAGGGAACCCGGGAAGCAGGACCTGGGGCGGGAATCCTTTCCCTGGTGGGAGGCCGGGAAGAGCGGGATAGGGTGGGAAGGGGAGAAACCGTGAAGAGGGTGGGGACGAGGCTCGCTGTGAGGATTAGATGAAACCAGCACAGCCACTCCGGGCCGTTACGTGAGCGTCCCACGCGTCAGCCCACTCAGCCCTCGCACGGGTGTCTGAGGTGCTGTTTTCGGCCTCGCGTTACAGGAATGAGGCCGAAGCCCAGAGAGGGGGAATGCTGCTTGTCCCGGCTCGCGGCCGCTCAGCGACAGAGCTGGGGTGCGGACCAGGGCTGCCTGGCTCTCAACCAATTGAATCGGCATCTGTGAGTGGTGCACAGGTAACGCAAGGGGCCACTGGCATGTGAATCTCTAAGGATTTAGCGCAGCGCCAGAACCAGGGGTGCTTTCATTGCCGAGGGGTCTCTAAAGGGGCGACTTCCGGCTCAGCCAGCCCTCTCCTTTGGTTCAGGTGACTCCTATGCAAACATCCCCACGCCCCACATCCGGCTCTTCCCCGATAGCCGGCACACTGCTCGCTGGCACAGTTTGCACCCCATGCTTTTGGGACCCCTCTCTGTCAGGCCTGAGGCTGCAAACACCCATGAATTGGATGTAGGTAGCTCTTGGCTTGGAAGCTGGGGCCTTTTTTTTTTTTTTTTTAAAGAAATCTGGCTCCCTTTTTTTAAAGTTTTCTTTATTTGAAAGGCAGAGTTAGAGAGGTAGAGACAGAGGTCTTCCATCCACTGGTTCACTCTCCAAATGACCACAATGGCCAGAGCTGGGTTGATCCAAAACCACCAGGAGCCGGGAGCTTCTTCCGGGTCTCCCACTTGGGTGCAGGGGCCCAAGCACTCTCCCAGGTGCATCAGCAGGGAGCTGGATCGGAAGTGGAGAAACCGGGACTTGAACTGGCGCCCTTATGGGATGCCGGTGCTGCAGGCCAAGGCTTTAACCTGCTACGCCACAGTGCTGGCTGAATGCTTTCCTTTTTAAAATCATTCCCTGCATTCTCATTTGCTTTTTGACCTTTGCCAAGTGAATTACTTGAGCTCCTCTTTTTTTAAAATTTTCCCACTGATCTGAGAGCGGCTTATCTGTTCTTACTCTACTAGTGATTATGGATTTTCTTAAATCTGATTACAGATTTCAACTTACTTGTGTAATCCTGCTTGTGTAATAGGAGGGAGATGATAGTTATTCATTTTTAAAGATTGATTTTTTTAAAGATTGATTTTATTTATTTGAAAGACAGAGTTAGAGGTAGAGGTAGAGAGAGAGGTCTTCCATCCGCTGCTTCACTCCCCAGGTGGCGGCAACGGCTGGAGCTGGGCCGATCCGAAGCCAGGAGCCAGGAGCTTCTTCCGGGTCTCCCACGTGGGTGCAGGGGCCAAAGGACTTGGGTCATCTTTTACTGCTTTCCCAGGACATAGCAGAGAGCTGGATTGGAAGAGGAGCAGCTGGGACTAGAACCGGTGCCAGTTTGGGATGCTGGCGCTTCAGGCCAGAGTGTTAACCCACTGTGCCACAGCGCCGGCCCCAAGATTGAATTTTTTTTAGATTTATTTATTTACTTGAAAGAATTACACAGAGAGAAAAGGAGAGGCTGGTTCACTCCTCAGATGGCCACAATGGCCAGAGCTGAGCTGATCCAAAGCCAGAAGCTTCCTCCGGGCCTCCCACATGGGTGCAGGGGCCCAAGGACTTAGGCCATCCTCTACTGCTTTCCCAGGAGCATTAGCAGGGAGCTGGAAAGGAAGTGGAGCAGCCAGGACTCAAACCAGCGTCCAAATGGGAAACCGGTGCTGCAGGCTGGGGCTTTAACCAGCTGTGCCACAGCGTCCCCCAACCCCCGGATGGGGGTGCATCTTTACTGCTCCTTGTTCTGGCAGTTCTCTGACCTGAGGGGCCTAAGCCTGGGGTCCTTTCCTAAAGCACCTTTCTTGGGCAGGTTGGTAATTGCAGCATCATCACTCCTGCTGGGGGTGACAGTCATCCCGCTGAGAACCCCTTCCAGAAGCTGCTAAGGGATTTTCCTGTCACACAGGCACACCCGCGGTGACTCCAGGCCCTCAGAACACAGGGGCTGCACACAAATGTCACAGACCTGAAGGCACAGTGTCTCTTGCCAGGCTCCACAGTGCTACGCAGACCAACTTCATGTAACTTCTAAAGCCTTTTATTCCTTTAAAAAAATGAAAGGCCGGCGCTGTGGCGTAGCTGGAGCCACCGCCTGCAGTGCAGGCCTCCCAGAACCCACTGCCCCACTTCCTATCCAGCTCCCTGCTGACCGCCTGGGAAAGCAGCAGAAGATGGCCCAAGTGCTTGGGGCCCTGCGCCCACGTGGGAGAGCCGGATGAAGCTCCTGGCTTCACCCTGGCCCAGCCCTGGCAATTGCGGTCATTTGGGGAGTGAACCAGCAGATGGAAGACTTCTCTCTCTCTGCTTCTCTTGTAACTCTGCCTTTCAAATAAGTAAATCTTTAAAAAATAAATA